GGGCGAGCAGATGAGTTTTGTGGTACAACTGTTGCATTTGATGCATTACTACTTGAAGTGTGATTTGGACCAGGTGATGGACTTCTCTGGCTACTAGAAGAGAAAAAGAGAATTACGAATGATGTATTTTAAAGGTGGCTTTTAGATATCTTAGATTTTGTCTACTAGTAATATGCATATGAATTCCCACAAAAACTTAATTTTACTATCAAACAGAAATCCAAAGTACATTTATATTATGTATTCCTCAATATCCTTCCGAGAGAATAAAGAGCCCTTTCAGCACTTCTATCAAACTCATTTTTTATTTTTATTTTTTTCAGAACCAGGGATTGAACTCAGGCCCTTGCGCTTGCCAGAGAAACGCTTATTTCACTGAGCCATCTCCCCAGCTCCTCAAATACCAATTTAAAATAATTACATTCTCCAAATTTGACAGAACCTGCTGACTTTACAGCACAAGCACTAACAAAAATTAATGGTCATATTAAATAATGGTCATACTTTAACAGCTATAAGGCACATTTGATTATATCTCATATATAGGGTAAAATAATGTGAAGCAAAAGAGAGACATTTAAAAACCAGATAGCACTGAATGAACATAGTGGCAAAATAAGACCAAAAATGTTAATACTGAGATTATCTTCTTTTTAAAGTCAATGGTTTGGGCCAGGGTTTGGGGACATGGTGGTGAGAACCAAAAATTTAATCACCCAAGTTTGATTTCCTACCTGCTCCACCAGACTTGGCTCTGAATGAATTTCAGTTATTTCCAAAAACTAAATCTCCCAAAGGATGAAGAGTTTTCATCACTGAGGACATTTAAAATAATACTGCAGCCTCTAAAGACAATTTAAAAGAAGAATTTCCCAAAAATGTTCTGAGCAATGGCAACATTGCTGGAGTAAGTAGACAGCTTCCCAAGGTGATTATTTTGAAGGGAAGAACTCTCATTTGGAGGTTTAAGTTCTGAAATGTTTGTTCAGAAAACAATAAAAACAACAGTTGAATTATTTTGCCACCTCACAGTGTGAAATAAAACAGGAAAAATTATAAAAATCATTCATTCAACAAATTTCATTTAAAATTGTACTTGTAACGAACAACAAAAAGTGAAAACACAATACAGGGTCATATAACTATGTGAAGAGCAATATGCAGCGGGCCAGAGCTGAAGCTACTGGAAAGGGGGCAGGGGCCCATGAGCAAATTTAATTTCCCAGGATTGTAAAAAATACTACGAGAAGGGTAAAAAGTGATGTAATACCAACAAAATATTGTATTATCATGTGCTTTTAGACTCATATATACTATAGTAAGTAAAATTTAAAAGCTTTCATTGAAATAACCCAGGCTTCCTTACTGGACAGTAATCTACTTATTGTGTAAAAGATTTGTTTTTAACACATAAAAACTCGGTTATCCTTGAATTCTACAAAACATACACATAAGTAATAATGAAACAAAGCATGCCACCTGCAGAAAATAGTGTAACACACAACATCAACCTACCTCGAGCGCTGAAGACTTCGAGGAGAGACAGGTTCATGACCCTGCTGTTTGTCAGCAGTGACAGGCTGCTGCTGTGTGGCCGATTGTGACACTGGTCCTTGCTTAACTACTGGAGTACTAACCTAAAATGTCAAAAGCTGGTAAGACAGTTTTGTCACATAGGCAACTAGCACAGAAACTAGAGAAATGAAGTTAGCAAATTACTAGTTAGGCTCCCAAAGGAACGTGGTAATGCACACCTGTGATTACAGCACTCAGAGGCTGAAGTAGGAGAATCACTGCAGATTTGAGGACTGCCTGAACTACAAAGCAAATTCATGTCCAGTCTGCACTACAAAGAGACCTTGTCTCAAAAGATCCAATGCAACCAAAACAAAACAAAAAGCCTAGTTAGGCTCCCAATCCAGTTCACTCCTTTGTCCACCTATCTAGTTAGTAAACTTAAACACTTTAAAATCTAGTTTTCCTGAAGTGGAATCAAAGGTCCTGTCAAAGGTTATAAAACGGGGCCGGCAAGATAGCTCACAGACTAAGTGCCTGCTTAGGTAAGCGCAGGGACCAGGGTTTGTTCCCTGGTCCCGCATGCTGGGCCCAACCCCAGCCCCAGTGCATGCCAAGCCGTTCACTGAGTCAAGGTGTGGTGTGTCACATGCCTATAATCCCCATGCTGGGGAGGCTGAAAACAGGAGGATCATCACAAGTCCGAGCTGTGCAGTGAGACCCTATACTAAACATAAAATACAACAGAACAAAAATGAAAGGTTTAAAATAAAGTTTTGAAGCACATCTAATTTCTTCATTGTCAGCAGGGCAAGTTTTTTTCTGATTTTTACCAGTTTTCCCCAATATACTATAACCTCTCCTACATTATTACTTCTCCATCAATATATATTTATTTTATCACATCATACAGATACTCATTTCAAAGACACTAAAAAATCTAAATATAGAGATTGAACTATATGCACACACTTCAACTTGTCAAAGGTTATAAAATGGGGCCGGCAAGATCGCTCACAGACCAAGTGCCTGCTTAGGCAAGCCAGGGACCATGGTTTGTTCCCTGGTCCCGCATGCTGGGCCCAGTCCCAGCGCATGTCAAGCCTTCCAAAAGACGTTATCATACAGAGGCAGACCAAGAAATCTATAAATACCAATGAGGATCCTATGCTATTCGTATTTTCAGGTCATAGCCAAACAAAAAGCATAAATATAATTAATATAAACTGTACATTAAAGTACAAAAGCAAACAGAGCCTTGCATAATCTAGCCACATACTGAAGTTGCAGGGTACTGGAGCGATTATATTTCCACAGAGTTTATTAAAAAAAAAAAAAAAAATTTCTACACAGTAGAATAGAACTCTTTTCCACCTCTATCCCAAAGCTCTCCAGATGTGCTTTACATTAATGAAAAATAATACTGACTCAATTGATAATCTGTTTGCTTTACAACACCAAGCCACTGAAGTTAATTCACTGAATGACCTTTTGAGAGAAAAATACACAAAGCAGACAGAATGATGTTGGCACTGTTTATTTTCAAACTGATTTATGAAAATAGCCAAGAAGTCAAAGAAAGGAATACAGTAAGTACCACAATGAACACTGAAAATAAACTTCTTTGTGTTTGTGAAGGAGTCTTGCTGTGTCACCCAGTGTGATCTAAAACTTGAGATCCTCCTGTCTTTGTTTACCAAAAAGTGGGATTATAAATGTTGGCACAATATCTGGCTTAGTAAATTTTTATGTAAAAATAAAAAAATTCCCCCTCACAGTATCGCTATTTGTCTTTTTTTTTGAGACAGACAAGGTCTTGCTATATTGTTCAACTTTGCCTTGAGCTCTCTATGTAGCTCAGGCTAGCCTCAAACACCAACTCATGCAATTCCCCTGCCTCAGTCCACCAAGTAGTGGGCTTGCATACAATACTACACTAAACCCAGCCCGAGTTACTTCTGATAAGCCAATCATTCTTGTCCTTTTTTTTATAAAGAACACTTACAATGCATTTTATAAAGAATAGTTTATAAGTTCTATGTAAACTCATATTAATAGTCATCTGCTTAATGGACCTGAACTACTGATTTTTATGATTACATAAAACATTTCACTACTTAATTCACTCTTACACTTACTGCATTCTTAAAATACCACTTTACAGATAAGTTCTAAGCGCTAAGGCCTATTTTGCTCATATTTAACTAGTATCCATCAAAATGCAGATAAATAGTAACTGTAAAACAGCACCTGTAACTTGGTATTTAAAAAAAAAAATATGGACCTTGAAACATGCATAGATCATGAGGAATGAAGGAGATGAACCAATCTGAAGATCCAGAAGCTGGCTTCAAGATAGGGCGCAGTAATGTCTAAGTTACTTAAGATCTTATTTGAATAAAGAATTCTTTAGCATTAAAAAATCTGAAATAGCCCAGTTTCATGCTTTAAAAAAAAAAAAAAAAAATCAAACAGAACTCATCTACAGTGAGCTCCATGTTAAGGAGCAAAGAATGAGTGCAACTGGTATTGACTGCACTGAAGTTGTGGTCAAGGATCAAATGTTGCAGTACTAACTTACTTATTTTGACACACAAAAACCAGACCTAGTTTGAATCAAAGCTTAATTTTACCTATTAAATGAGGCAAATAGTATGTGATAGTCATGATATAAAAAAATTTAACATGGTACAAAGCTCTAAGTAAAGAAACTGACTCATTTTTAAAATAAAAGTATGAAACAAAGTCACTGACATAGTCTTTCATGAGCTTGAGTTTGAATGTTCTACAAACATTAAGGCCTTCTTTATGTTGCTCTCAATGCCATAAATGCCAAAGCCAATAGAAGAGATCAGGTAGTGAGTGTATAAAAGGTAAGGCTGACTTGACTCAAATTTCCACTTCAACATCCACTATCAATCAATTGTATTCATTCAAATACTATCTCAATCTCAGGAGGCTTTCTCTAAAATGTTACCAACTTTCCAAAAAGAAAGTAATTTCTTTGTACAACATTTTGCTCAGAGGTGACATACCTTTGGCTGTGATGAAACAGGAGGAGTACTAATCAATGGTTTAATAGGAACGGTGTTAGTCTGAGGTGTGCTTATCCTTGGAGACACGTAAGATCTTGGGGATGAGGCATCAGATGTTAAAGACATGGGAGACTGATTAGATGGCTGGGCTGTAAAAGAGTGAAGTAATTAACTTTAAATAAACCAAAACCCTTTGTAAAATAAGTAATAAACATCTCTGCATCACATTCTACAGACCCCATGCCCTGTATTCCCCAGAGAACACTTATCACACTGATTAAATGTGCTACAGAGATAAGCACACCCAGTGGGGGCTGCTCCTCCTTTCTAAGGCTGGAGCAGGCAGCTTAGCCTGAACTTATTTCTATATGGTACCTAGCGTCCCTGGTATCTTTAGTTCTTCTCATTTTCATTTAGATCAGCTATCCTTCTCAGTCACTGCCCCAAGAGGCTAGCCTGGGTGTTGTGTCTGTGCACCACTTATCTCCATTCCACATCAGGTAACCTGCTCAGCTTCTTGATGTTCAGACTAAGTGACCTGTTCACTCCTGTGTGTATTTTGCTCCACCTGGACACTTTTTTGGGAGAAGGACAGCTATTCAAGAAGGAATCAATAAACATATCTACCCCCTAGCAACAGCCATACACCACCAATCTCAAACGTCAGGTCTTTTATTTTTTATTTTTTTGGCAGAACCGGGGATTGAACTCAGGCCCGTGTGCTTGCCAGGGAAGCACTTATTCCACTGAGCCATCTCCCTTGCCCCAAACGTCAGGTCTTTTGAATACATGGGATGCTTCACAAAATTAGGTACATCAAAGCTTAGTTTCAGTTCTGGAATAAAGTACATTACTAATGATTTAAGTTCTAAATTAAGTACAGTAAGTAACTTATGAACATTCCAGTTGTGAACTTTCACAGACATCAACACATGCCACATTATACAAATATGAACAAACTGTGGAAGTATCTCACATGTCTGTAGGATATTGTCGCTGTTTTGCTGTGTATTGTACAGTATGGTAAATGCACAGCAAGCAGTACAGTGCCCAGTCAGAGGTCAGCATGTCCAGAAGCAAGAAAGGAAAAGCAGTGGTGATGTGGAGGTCTGGTTTCTTTATCCCTTATATTGCAATTTGTGTCAGAAGTGTATAAGACTCACTTTGCTGAACTTCTGAACAAAGCTGACTTATGACTATTCCTCCAGAAGGGAACTGTCGTTTGTAAGTTGGGGACTTACTGTACTGCATTACAGATCTGACAGGAATACCTTAAGATAAATGTCAAAGCTTCATTTTTTTTTTAAGCAGTTTATAAAATCTTCCAAAAACCATACATTCATATTCATATAAATTTGATTTACATTAATATAAATCTTTATATGAATATAGAGGAAATCTGTATTGTGATCTCTTCAAAAGCAAACCAACGTGCTCTTAATTTCAAAACAAAATATAATTTTAGAAGCATCCAAGAATATGCATTAAATACCTTGTGTAGAGAGCTGAGCAGCTTGAGAAATCAGAGATGTTATGTTGAAAGCAGATGGTCCAGCAGTAAGAAACTTATGAATTATAGACTGCAGTGAAGCTTGTGTCACAGCTGCTGTAAGAACTGAAAATCCATTATTTCTTAAATTCAAATAAAAACAAAAAGGCTTATGAACCATATTGTGTGTTTCAAACTAAGAAACTGAAGTAAGTGAGAAATAGCTTTGAGGTAGGGAAGACACAGTTTAGCACAAAGATAAACCCACGGTTTCCTTTACACTACTAAAATCACTACACACTGGGCTGGTGAGATGGCTCAGTGGTCTAAAACACCTACTTAGAACAAGCTTAGCAAAGCACAAGGACCGCGGTTCAATCCCCCAGCACCACATGCCAGCCAGCCCCGCCCCCAGTGGGCTGAGCTGGCCACACACACACACACACACACACACACAAATAAATAAATAAAATTAAAAAAAAAAATCACTACACAAAACTTGAAAAAGTACCTCAGAGTGTGTAATGCAACTTCTGATTCTGGCTGATGATACCAGAAGCCTATCTGTACATGAGTAAAGTACTCCATATATTACTTAGAATTAACTGGATAAATGTTGGTATTTCATGTGATCGACTTTAAGTGACCAAACTGTGTATCTCTACATTGCCCCAAGAATGACATGTAACTGGGCCAGCCAGATAGCTCAGCGGACTAAAGCTCAGGCAGATGCAGGGGCCAGGGACTGGATCCCTGTGCCTGCTGTGCCTGGCCCTGTGCCCAAGGCAGCAATGGAGATTGGGCATCGATGGTGGCATGCCTGTAATCCTAGCATTTGGGAGGCTGTAAACAGAAGCATCACTACGTGTCCGATCTACATAGCAAGACCCTGTACTAAACACAAACACACACACACACACACACACACAGAATGACATGTAAGACCTTTCAACTTTTGACATACGACTTTCTTTTTGGGCGGGTAGTCTTTTAAGACAGGGTTTCACTATGCAGTTCAGACTGTCCTTGCGCTCACTTTGTAGCTGAGGCTGGTCCTGAGCTCACAACGATCCTCCTGCCTCAGTCTCCCAAGTGCTTGGATGTAGGCGTGAGCCACCATGCCTGGCTTCCATTTTCTTGAACTGTTTAGAAGTTCTATTTCACCTAAGTAAAACTGCTTAATTATCTTAAGAGAATAAAATAAAAATACTGAAAAGATGAGTCCAATAAGGATTAAGAGTAGCCAAGTGTGGTACTGCATGCCTATAATCCCAGCACTTAGGAGGCTGAGACAGGAGGCTCACTGTAAGTTTGAGGCCCACTTGGGCTATACAGTGAGTAAGCCAGCCTAAAATACATAGCAAGACTCTATTAAGAAAAGAAAAAAGTAAGAATATTGACCAGTCTGATATAGCTCTATTTTTAGGACACAGTAAGAATTACTGTTAAATATATTCTATAAATAATGTACACAGATTATTGTAATCAGAACTTGGCAATGCCCTCAGGACTTAAAGTCTGAATATGAATGGTTTGCAAACTAAAATCGTGTCTGCTAATGTTGAAACTTTGTGGTAACTGCCTGAACTTTAATAGTACAATGAAAAACAATGCTGGAACTGTTAATTAACAAAAAAGGGCAAAATTTTATAGGGCCTACCTCTTGGAACTTAGTATTTTAAGTACCCGAATTCCCAACTTTCCAGTAATCAACACATTTGAAATAATTCAAAATAACTTTGCCATACAAATTTTAGAAACAGAAGACCTATGACTCCATCACTCACTGATGCTTAAGGATGTGTGAGTTTTGGGCTAGCCTGGGGTACATAGTGAAATAAAGCCCAGCCTGATTTACAGTGTAAGACCCTGTATTTACCTTCAGGCTAGGGATATAGTTCAGTGGTGCAGTGCCTATCTGGCAAGTGTGAGATCCTGAGTTCAAGTCCCAGTACCCACCAAAAAAAAAGAAAAAAAAAAAAAATTTACCTTCATTTATTTTGGATATGTCCATGTTAGAATTATTGAGCTGCAGAGTGGCTTGCAAAGCAGGAAGCAACTGTCTAAGAAGATTTGGGTCCTGAAGTAATGGAGGTATCGGTGACTGGGGAACAGGAGAAACGGGAATTGCAGAAGCAGATGTTGGAGGTGCAGATGTGGGGTTCAGTCCAGAGGCAGAAGATGTAGAAGGAGTTGTGCAAGAATGTGATACTGATTTGTCTCCTGCTGTAGATTCTAAATAAAAAAGAGACAAAGCTGAAAAAATTTATTTGAATAGAAAAAGCTAAACAAACACCACAAGAGCATCTCTTTTACATGCTAGGTACCCTCATACAAATGATCTCATTTAATTCTTACAAGGGAATTCAATAAATATCGGCCTCTGTAGAATGAGATAAATATTTTTATATCCCTACTCATTGGTGATTGAACAAGAAAGATCAGGTCACTTGTTTAAAGTAAAATAATCTGGTATTACATTCATGCCTGACTAAGTTTGCTGTCACATACATTCAGATAACTTCTATTAGGATAAAAACAGTACAATTCCTTAGGACTTAATTTACACCTCAGAATAAAGGTAAGTAAAATGTTTATGAAAGCAACAATAACCTATGAATGAGCACAACAGCCCTAATATATGTCAAGACAGGCTCCGTGGTAGTCCTCAAAAAATGAGCAAAGGATCTGATGAAAGGCGACAATTTGTATTCAGTTTTAGGACCACATGATAAAATACCACCACTAAAATGAGGTAAAAACAAACCAAAAGTCTGCCTCATTATTTAAAAAATGTATAAAATATGTATGAAAAGCTGTTTTTATTTATATATATTTAATGCTAGCATAATGAAACCCATTATTACGTTTTTTATTTCTTGATAAAATGGTAATATCTTCAAGATTCCAGAAAGAAAAAAATACAGCAAGCCCTGTCAAATATAAATAATTAGTTTAAAGCAGACTAAACTTGTGATTATCAAAGGCAAACAGGCAGGTATTTTTGACATTATAAAACATTTAAAAATTACAAAATGTAGGGCGAGGGATATAGCTCAGCAGTGTAAGCACCTGCCTGGCAAGCACAAGGTCATGAGTGCAATCCCTAGTACCTCAAACAAAGAAACAAAAATTACAAAATGCAGAACAATTCAAAATATTAGCACCACAATATTTAAAAGAATTACTGTGAATCAAAAGTCAAGGTACTCAACAGAAAAATTTAAAGATACTTCACAAAAAGATGAATGATTAAAAAATTAACTTCATTAATAATCAGAAAAAGTAAAGCAAGACATCCATTTATATTTATTATAAAAGCAATAATTTAAGTCTGACAATACAAAATGTTGTCAAGAAATAATGGCTCATGTACATAATGTTCCTGGAAACTAGACTGGTACAATCAGATTAGAAAATAAAATGTGACATTATCCAGAAAAAATGAAGATAAACACATACTTATGCCCAATAACTGGCCTTATAAATTATACCCTTTTGGAAGCTTTATACACTGAGAGTCATTAAATACTGAAACAGCGCTTAAGTCGAAATTTAGCAACAAAGCAGATATCCAACAACACAAATGAACACTGATTATTTTCATTCCATGTGATTTCATGAACACAGCAAGTCAATGCAGTTTAATATTGCAAATGTGGACTTTCATATGAGAACATTCACTATGGACTACTGAATATAATTCACATATTCTTTAATGGAATTGTGGTTAAAAACTAAGTATGAGTGTTTGCTAAAGCATTTAAAATTTTCCCAATATATACTCACTATTAAAGGTTTCTCAAGATTACATATTTGTTGTATGATTGAATCAATACTAAGTTTCAAAAGTCACATTTAAGTTTCAAGAGCAATGCATGGATATTACACTGGTGCCTGTTGCTATAATTATAAAATCTTCATTTTTAAATTCTGGGAACTAAGATTCAGTAATCTTATGGCCCAAGAGAAGCTAAGAACTGCTTGTAAGCTCAATGAATAAGGACTCCTTTTACCGATCTTTATATAACACCGCAATCACAATAGTCAAGAACTAGGGATAACAGACATCTTGGGTATGAATAGCTATTTTAGTACACTTCAGATTATGCTCATTAACTGTGACCAACTCAGAAGCCCTAAGGTAGCTGTATTTTTATGAAGGATACACCGTAAAGGAAAGATCCTTAAGGGTCTGACAGACTGCCTACCATTTTTCCAGCTTTGCCAATCTGAATTCATAGAAAAATGTAAGTAAATCTGTCTGGAATGATGAAACAAATTTATTCCTTACAAAAACTTGTGCCCTTCAGGAGCAGTTATAGCTTACATTAGCATTTTTCTTCAGATCATCTCTCAATTGTTCACTTAAACCTTATGGGCATGTTATATCACTACTCAGAATAAAATGCACTTTATTTACTGCATGGACAATTAGTACTTGTACACACTATTATTTTCTGTGTATTTGTTTTTGCTTTTAATGACAGAAGCAAGTTGGAAAAGGAGGTGCAAAGTGCTTTCAAACTTTGTTCTGTTGTTGCCAACTAATTTGAAAAGTTAGAAGTGCTTCAAAATTCCTCAGATTACTCATTAAATCAAGCAAATGAAATGCTACAAAACAGAATTCCAAAATGGAATAAGCAGAATGGAAACCAACTAACTGATCCTGCTTAGTAGTGTATTTATAGGATTCTGGGAAAAGTGACCTACCTAAAGGCTAGCATTTCTCTATTACACTTTGAGTATTACTTCTAAACAGACTACTTATCAGAATCACTTGTGAAACTTAAAAAAATACAGATACTCAGGCTCCAACCCACATCTGATGAACTCTGGGGAAACTTAACTTCTAAGTACAACTTGTAAAGTTCTAGGTATGATCTTGGCATCTTTGGTGGTTTACATAACAAACAGGCTGGAGGATCCTAAGGTTCCTTTTAATTGAAATCATACAGAAGAAATTACTATCACAGCAAAGTGCAAAGCAGAGAACAGAGGGGAGGAATGATACATCAAAGACAGGAAAGCTAAACCTATTTTTTAGGTATATTATCAGCAGATATGTCTCCTCCAAATGTACTTTTCAAAGCATGTTACAAGTTATTAAAATGTTTTTATACTGTATGCTTCAATCCACCTATATAACTGGAAACTAGAATTTAGTAAAACAAAAAAGGTACAAGTTTTATATTTCGGGTGCTAATTTGGTGTCCTTCTTTGTTCAGGGTTCTACTATTCAGTGATGTTCTATTTGAACATGAGCTTTCTCAGCAGAGAAAATATACTTAGATTTTAGTTCTAGGGCAAAATGGGAGTCAGTATCAACATGCATTTCTTGACTATGAGTCAGAATTGTGCAACATAGGCACAGACACATGTAAGCACTTGCAACTTCTAGGTCAATCTTTTCAACTGGTCTCCACTCTACTGGTGTTGGGGATACTGGGTCTCTAAAAACCACCACCACCATCTTTGCTAGAATCTGTTTTTAGAATGTGGGCTAATACACAACAAAAATTTTATTCTGAGTTTTATTAAACATAGAAAACTTGTATTTTTGAAATTAGCAAAATATAAGTTCTAGAACCACAAATTTAGTTTTTGCATCACCAAGTCATTTCAATCGACTTGTTTGCTCTTTAATATGAGTATCAGTCTCTACTTGCCCTCAATGTAAAGTTTCCTAAGCATTTAAGAGATGTCTACCTACTTTAGACTTTTTTCTATGTGTTTGGTAATGGAAGGATATCTAGATTTAGGTCCAATAATTTGACTATGTGTGGCCACTGTTTTATTGCTTTTAAAGTGTGAGAGTATCTGTGACTTCCATTTTATTTCTAATTACGTTATTAATATTTAAAATCACATATCCTAAAACTTGCTTTACATTAAAAAATGTACATAAATGGGTGTTGTTTTATAATATAAAGACACTGAACTTTTTGCAATGTTTTCTTTAAAAAACCTGTACCAATAATTGTTTGTACCCTTGGCTTTCAGTACATGTGTTTTTGTATCTAGGAGCAGAACTGTTGGATGGCACAAGTAATTCTACCTTTGACTTTCTGAGAAACTGTACTTTAAACTCCTATCAGCAATATATAAGTGTTCCAATGTTCTTCAAGTATCTGTTATTTCCTTTTTAAAAAAAGTTAATAAGCAATCCCACTGAAGTAGTATTTAATTGTGGTTGATTTATATTTCCCCCATGAATAACGGCCCTGAGCATCTTTTCATGTTTTTATTGGCTATTGGAATACATTCTGAGAAACGAATTCAAGTTTTTCACCCATCACTGAATTGGTTTTTTGTTGTTGCTGCTACTAATCAAGCATAAACAATTTTAAGTATTTTCTCATTTCACGAGTTTTTTTATGTTATGGCTTTTTACCCTAATAGCCTTCTTTGATGCATAAGTATCCCCCCCACCCCGCCCCTAGAACCGGGGATTGAATTCAGGCTCTTGCACTTGCCAGGGAAGTGCTTATTCTACTGAGCCATCTCCCCGGCCCCTGACACGTTAAGTATTTAATGCCAATGAAATCCAGTATCTTTTTTTGGTTTATACATTTCGTGTTATGTCCAAGAAATAACTGACAAACCAACATCAGGAAGATTTTTCTCCTGCAGTCTACAAGTTTCATAGTTTTAACTCTTGAAGGCTTTGGCTCATTTTCAGTGACAAAAATACTAAGGCTAGCAATCAAAAATTCTTCTTTTCTAATTTTGTGTTTATATCCTTTGCATTATAAATATCGTTATCTTTCACTGGCTATTCTGTCAGAGTTTTAAATGTCTTTTTTTTTATTTTTTAATTTTATTTATTTATTTGTGTGTGTGTGTGTGGGGGGGGCGCCAGCTCAGCCCACCAGGGGGCAGGCTGGCTGGCATGTGGTGCTGGGGGATTGAACCGTGGTCCCTGTGCTCTGCTAAGCTTGTTCTAAGTAGGTGCTTTAGACCACTGAGCCATCTCACCAGCCCCTTAAATGACCAAATTCACCTTAATCAAAGTACATTCATTTTGGGTCTTAATAATTAAGGTCTTCCTTATTCCCAAGTTATAAACAAGATTTTCTAACACAGTATTCTTTTTATCAGAGCTGTTTCTCCTCACCATCTTTTTATGTATGTCATTTTTAATATGTTAAACTTGACTTAAACTAAGATTAAACTCCTCCACTAATGTATTCAGTTATTCAACAAATGTCTGAGTAACTCTATAGCCAAATTCCTAACTTTTCACGAACTCAATTTGAAACAATACAACTGAGAGCTAAAATTCATCCACGATAGGTAATGACCTAAGTCATCCACATAAAGTTAATGTCTTAACACATACTGAAGTCTTAAGGTTTAAATTGTCTACAGATAGCATGAAAAACACAAAAGGGAATCTTATTCACGTGACTAATACTTCATATTAATAGCTAACTAGCTCCCCCCAACCCACATATACTAACTCAATTCAAGAGCTTGAGGCACTGGTCTACTCCTGTGACTACTTTGCTTTCAAGCTTATCCAATTTAATAAATCATAACTGAATTATGAAATGAAAAAACTGCTAATTGAGGTCATTAAGCTGACATTGGCACTTACTTGGTCAGAGCAAATAAGGACTTACTGCCTGCTTGTCATTTCACTAATCCACAAGAGACTGTGGAATTAAAACCTATGAATAGGGTAATGGGGTATCAAGTGATGCAGTTGCATATTTTTTAGTGTAACAGTATACTACTTTGGTAGGTGACTGGACAATAAAATGATCTTACCAATCAATGGTAAAACATTAAACAGATACTGACATAAATAGTCCTCTGTTTTACTCTACTCAACACCAGGACTGCTGTAAGTGTAGAGTTATACAACTTCTCCACACATTTTTTTTTTTAGCAATTAAAAACTTTCAAGTTTACATAATATTCTTTCTCTCAAGTGACACACTAGCATTAACAGATCTCAATCTATTGCTGGACTCCTTTAATAAGATGTGTAATACATATGTACTCTTAAAATACCATGACCAATGCAAGTAACTTCTCCAAACCTTAAAGCATTATCTCTTTTGCAGCTATTTATCCATCTACAACAAACACTTGTACACTGCTTAGTATCTGTTAAGCACGGGGGATAGTGCAGCAGGCAAGATGACAAGGAGCCTGCTTCTAACTTCTCATGCTACCACTGACATCTTTAGATATTATTACTGTGTCATAGTATAGGCATTTAACACACATCAGATCAACCTGATTTGAACCTTTGCTACAAATTATGTATTTTTTTTGGTTTGCAATGCAGGGGATCAAACCTCATTCATGGTAGCCAAGTGCTCTACCACTGAGCTACACTCCCCCACTCCATTCTTTATTGTGTAACTGTTAAGGAAAATCCAAATGAAAGATGTCTCATGTTTCCCCTGAAAAAGGACTCATTTTAAATTAATGACACCTCACCAACTTAGACCAACTAGAAAATAATCTGGTATGATCAAATTATTTTGATCATAAAATAATGCCAGACATTTAAAGAGAAATGTGTCTTCAATTAAGATGCAAAAAGAAACATTAGGAAAGACTGCACAATCTTCTCTATATAGACAATCTGAAGTTCCTCAAGTTTCTTCTTGAAAGCTTCAAAGCAGTATAATTTTTAATTAATTTTGTCATAAATGAAGCTCAAAGGAGAAGGTAATATTTAAATACATAGTGTATAACAATGTCTAGCCCTAAAAGTACAAAGCATGTAAGAAAAAGATTGAGAGAAAGCAGAACACCACAGTGGCTATAGTGCAAAGAATACACACAAATTAATCATCTACAATTTGTCGAAGGGTGAGTAGGAAGAAGAGAAAGGGCAGGCAGGCAGGCAAGAACACTGAAGAAAAAGGGAAAGCTCAAAGGCAGGGAATCGAGCTGTTAAGTACTGAGAATCCAAGGATAAATTAAGGCAAAGGGGAGAAATCTGAAATGTTACCTGCAGAAATGTAGTACATGTCAAGAACTTAAAAGTAGTAAATAAAAGTGTGAAGAATGATTTGATGTCATGATAACTACACTAATATAAAAAAGGGAAATGTGTGAAGGAAAAAAAAAGGCAAAATCCAAAATGGCTGAATGGTATTAATATTACAGAGCAGGGAGATAACAAAACAGAAAACTGAAGAGTACTATCACAGAAGCCAAGGACAAAGCTTGGAGAGAGAAGAGCTAGTTAAGTATAAATGAAATGAGATGAAGGGCTAGGTGATTTTTATTGTTGTTTTGACAAGATCTACTGCCCATACTAATTTTGAACTGCAGACTCAAGAGATCCTTTCTTCTTAGCTTCTCAATAGCCAGGACTACAACAAGTAGTGCACTCAGCTGGCATTTGTTTTAACTGACATGGGTCATAAAATAAAATCTGCTGTACCTAAAGAGTCAAATACAATAAAAGACCAAAACCACTGAAACATCCACTAAGAGTATATTAATTGGCATTTTACCTCTCAGGCATTTTCTGGCAAACTTAGTAAAGGATAAACTTTACGTATCAGTTTTGGCATAAGCCACTTTTAAATTTAGTTTTTAAAAGGAGCATCAATCTGTGATGTATTTCGCACTGCACAGTAAAAAAGTACACAGATTAGTAATACATACTGCTACAGTACCAAGGAATTTGAAAGGTGAAAGCAGAATAAGAAATCCAACTATTTGACACTTGTGAACAAATTAAATCACTATAGACTAGCTCAATAAACAGATCTGGCTTAAGGTTTCATCATCAACTCCTAACTCCATGGGACATTTCAAAGTTCAACATACATCTGCTAATGGGCTCATCCATGATACAGTGGTGCCTTGGTTCATGAATGTTATTCTTTCCATGATTCTGGTCACAAACCAAATTGGTTGTGAACTGAATAAAACTCATAGTTAAGTTCAATGCTGACCTTATGGAAAAATGTGATATGGTTCACAACCAGACTCACGCAAAGAATTAAGCTTGTGAGCCAACGTGCCAATGTAATTTGTGTGCTGGCTTGCAATTAATTTCCTTGGATTCTCAAGGCATTAGATGAAGTACAAGTTTGGAATTGTGAAGAGCCTATGCAAATACATCTATCACATTGCTTATGTGACACCTCCCAAGTGGCTGTTACCAAGTTTTACTTTTTGAACATGCTATTATTGTTGTTCTCTTATGTATTTGGTACAGGGTCTCACTATGCAGCTCGGACTCTATAGTGATCCTCTTGCTTTCAGCTTCCCCAGTGCTGGGATTATAGGCACGCACTACCATGTGGCTGGCTCAGTGTGCTTGGGGGCGGGGCTGGTGGGGCATGTGGTGCCGGGGATTGAACCCTGGTCCCTATACTTAAGCAGGCGCTAAACGTGTTATTAATTAAACCTGAGTTGTAGAACCACAATTTGGAGTACAATGTTCACTAGCAATCATCAGATCTAAGGTCTGATTTAGACACAAACATATTTTATATAGCCCCCATGACTCAGTTTTCTAGTTCACAAACTGAATCCATAACCTGTCGGAAACCAGAAATAAGGAAGAAAATGGGGGTAAGGGAGATGAAAAGGAGAGGGTGTTAACTGGGAAGAAAAACATTAAAAAATGTTATATGTGTATGCCAATATATAACCAATCTCATTTTGTGTTACTACTACGTACCAATAAAAAAAATGATGGATATAGAGAAATGGTAAAAAATTCCTATATATATTTGCATCAAACTTTAGAAGATGGACACAATTTCTAATCAATAAAATTGTCAAAAAATTATGCAAATATGAAGGGACAAACACTTGACTTTGACTAGTTAATCCACTGTTAGAAAACTGAAGTTCTGACTTCAGAGTCAAAGGCAAAAAAGAACTGAGTCTAAATATTATAAATTAAAAAGAAAAAGCTATACATGACTAACTCTAGACCTGTATGCAGCAACTCAAAAAACGAAAACAAAAACACCCCAGGATTTATACTTAAGCCTTATGTAAGCCAAAGGAAATGTCATATATCAGAAACTATAGTTCAACGTGCAGCATCCAGTAACAATGGCATACCTTTTCTTTCTGTTTTCTGTGCAGGGACAGAAGATGTGGGTGTAGGCAGTTTTGATAAAGTAGATGCTCCATTGGCATCAAATGATTTCTTTGGCTGGTGATCAGACTGTAGCGTAAATGGATAGAAGGAACAGTGCTTGGGGTAGCAGTTGGATGAACCACTGGTTTGATGGGGTGCTGTACTGGCGTAGAACTACTGTGAGTCTCTGCTCTTGGCAGTCTGTAGTCTCTGTCATTGTGTCTGCTTGTTTGAGACAAAATGTTCTGTGGGAGCAAACTACTGGCATCACTGGAATGCTTGTCTTCCACTTTACAGTTCATAGTTCGAAAAAAGAGATGTTGGAATGACAGAAGGGGAAGAAAAAAAGATTACGTTAGAATCCTGTCTTTAACATCAGCTAATTTAGCAACAGACTTTTATCTATCTTCTTTTTTTCCTTAAAACTGCAAGCCCAATTGGTGTCTGCAGTTTTACCATTAGAATATATTAAAAAAAAAAAAAAAAAGAGTTTAACAATCTATACTTCAAGTGGGCTGGTAGTTTTCTTAATATTCTTTAGAACCACACTGTAATTTAAATAAAATAAAAACAAACAAAAACCTCCAATATGGCACTATAACATTTCATTTAAAAAAGTTTAATATGTTAAAAAAAATTTAGTAAACGTTCTAGCTTTTAAAAAACACATCATAAGATCTAGTTAATAACTGACTAAATTACCCATAGTAGTTCGACAATATTAGCTCTGTTAGCTTGCTGTGCTGAATACTGAGATAATTAACTAGTGGGCTCTAAAGTAGTTTTACACTAGGGTTTAAGTGACTTCATTTTAAGACGGTTGAATTTATGGTGAACTGTGCACTCAATAAGTAAACCAATTCAGTATTTTTAGTAGTAAGGATGTAAGAGTAACCAAATTATGATACATATGCTATCTGCATACTGAAATCCTATATACATAGCATGATCAGAAAAATCTATCACTAGTTACACTGAAATAGATTCATCAATTTAGAAACATATTGAAACTAGTTTAAACTATCAACAATATAAATCTTAGTACTATGCCTCCACAAAACAGTATTTACCAAGGAATATTTCAATCACATTAATACAGTTTATTATTCATCCAAGTCTCTAAAATATAATATTATTCCAATCTGAATTACCAGAGTTTAAAGTAATCTCAAGGTAATGACAATTTTACCAAAGGATACCCTCTCTGCTGAATATTATTTTTTCCAATTTACAGCTCTTCTAATGCTAAAGACTAAGACTAATCTAAAAAATACATTTAAAATGTAAGTCAATTTTAAAAGGGTGTCTATATATACACAACTGTATGTTACATCCCAAGCATGCATAGTGAGATACCGCCAAAAAACTTAAATCATATCAAAACACAGGGTCTAACTATGTCCCAATATGATATCTGATTTTAACTGATTTTAGTCTAGATTTTCTTCAGGCAAATTTATACAATACAAACCTTTATGGATAGACAGAAAAGAAATAATACCATGCCCAACCCTATCACTTGAATACCCAAAACTTTTCTTTTTTGATCTAGAAAATTCCCTTTCAGTTTGTAGGACCAGTCAAAATGTATGATGCAATATGCTGAGATGAAAATTAAAACTAGTAACTTTAAATATTTGTAAGTTAAAAAGAACATTATAGCAATAGGGGAAGCTAGCACTACAACAGCTTGTATTACCAATTTTGTTTTTAAAATTTATGTATTTGGTACTATGCAATGCTATACAGAACAGTTAAATAAGGAGTTCTTCTATCTATACCATCCTCCCTTTGTGTATTTCTACATGTTTCTGAGTGGGGGGGGTATACTACTGTGTCTAGTAGACAAGATGCTCTCTATAAGCTACAGAATGAGTCTCACAACAGTAAAAAATGGCATAAATTGGAAAGTCACTTGTACTATATAAGAAACCCCAAATAAATGTTTCTCTAAACTAAGAGTATTCACGCTGTACAAAAAAAGCCAATAGCAGGGGGCCTGCCCCTTTGCTCAGTTCTTTAAGTGGCTGCTTCAACAGAGCAGTCAGGCTCAGCTTGCTGTGGTTCAATCCCCAAAACTCAAGCCAGCCAAACCTGCCCTGAAGGCATTCGGAGAAAAAAAAAAAAAAAAGAAAAACAAAGTAAACCCAATAGCAAAATATTTTAACCATATAATTTTCACTATCAAGTATCATTACATATAAAATTCTTTTTTTTTTTGGCGGTACTGGGGATTGAACTCAGAACCTTGCACTTGCCAGGCAAGTGCTTATTCTACTGAGCTATTGCCCTGGCCCACATATAAAATTCTACACAATCTTCTCCCTTACTTTTTCTACCCAAACATCAAAACAAACTTACTGTATAAATAGGAAATTGCTAATAATTTGTGGCTAGACAATACCAAACATTTAAATAGCTTACTGACTTTTTTAGCACAACAACATATATAAGCTCAGGTGAACATTTAAAAAGGAAAACAAGCAAAATAACTACAATCTTTAAAAAGGGTTATAGGTACTGGACTACACTTCAACACAGCCACAGATACACTGACTCAACATGTATACACCTAGGAAATTAACTTCAGGAGAGTGGGCAGATATAAATCATCACCTTGTTTGCCAAGCTAAAAGAAATGACCCAAGCATCCCTGCATAAGAATTTATTTATAAACAAATGTAATACTATGTAGACAATACAACAAATATTAAATTATAAACCCAAATGGAAATATGCTGCTGAAATATTAAGCGTAACATTATAACCAATGATAATCCCATCATTTTGGGGCAAAGTACTCAAAAGAGATAAAAAGTATACATCAAAAAATATGTACCATATCAATTATGGGAAAAAAAAACATGTACCAAAATGTTCCTAGATCATGGGATTAAAAAAATTTCCCTCTAATTTTTTAATAATAGCCATACCTTTTGATATAATGAACAAAAAATTAAAAGAAAACATTTATTTGAAATACAGTGGTACCTCAGTTCATGAACACTTGTTTATAAATACTCTGGACTGCAAATAAGCGCTTGGAAAAATTCTGGCTTTGTTTGGGAATTCTACATCAGGTAATGAACATGACCCATGGGCATCTTTCCTGCATGAACACAAATGTGGCTGTCTTTTCCAGAATTGTGGAACAAGTTAAGTTTCTAAATTAATGTACAACTGTAAGAAGTTGAACACATCTCAACATATCAACACACAAACCATGTTTCTTTCCTATTAGTTTTCTGGAACCGGTTCTCTGATTTCACCCTTTACATACTCTACCCTAGGAAACAGTGTTTTAAGATAATCTTGTTATCTTAAATAACAAGATTCTTTGAAAAGCATTACTAAGTTTTGCTCCTTTTCCTCTCTGAGAGCCATCAGTCTAATCCAGCAGTACTAGTTTTGGGACCTAGTTAGGAAAGATAACGTTGCAATCTCTTAATTATACCTATGTTTATGAAAAAATTTAATTTTACACCCAGTGGTTATTCCTCCTCTATGACTGAACTTCTAAATGTGCTCAAGAGTCCCACAAGCTGTGGGGACCGGGGAGATGGCTCAGTGGAATAAGCGCTTCCCCAGCAAGCCCAAGGGCTGACTTCAATCCCTGGTTCCACCAAAAAAAAAAAAAAAAAAAAAAAAAAATCCCGTAAGCTGGTTGCTACTCAGGTACTTCAAGAGGAAAAAGCTTTGACCAAAGTCAGTTCCTTAAAAAATGAAGAGACTAGACCAAGTCTTTTTTTTTTTTTTTTTTTCAAACCAGGGATTGAACTCAGGCCTGTGCACTTGCCAGAGAAGCGCTTATTCCACTGAGCCATCTCCCTGGCCCAGACGAAGTCTTTCTTAAAGTACAGTTATTTCCTAAAGTTGAGTACTTTGACACACTTCTTTAAAAAATTATGTATTTATTTGCTACAGGGCTACGGAGCTTGGAATAATAGTGATTCTCCTGTCTCAGCATCCCTAGCGCAGGCACTATAGGCATGAATCACCATGCCTGGCTGCGGTGGTGGGCATGGCATGCCTAGGGTTCTGGGGCCAGCATGGCATGTATGGGGGATTGACCTGGGTCCCTGTGCTTGCCAGGCAGGTGCTCAGACTGCCATGCTATCATCTCAGCCCTGAAATAATGTTTTAGAAGAATTCAGTACAATTTCAATAATATGTAATCTAAAATTTAATGTTCTAAGAAACAGTTTAAACATTCAGCCACATACAACTATGTTAACTGTTAAGTAATTCTTTCCATCAATAAATCATTATTCCTTGCTGAGACTAAACATACCTATTACTTGGATTTTTGAGTTAAATGGGAATTTAACACTTAACCACAGGGCCCGGGGAGATAGGTCAGTAGAGTAAGTGCTTGCCTGGCAAGCACAGCATCCTGAGTTCAATTCCCGGTACTGTCCCGGTACCGAAGAAACAGTTAACCATAAAAATTCTCAGAGAGAACTTTTTTTTTTTTTTGGTGGTACTGGGGATTAAACTGGGGACCTTGCACTTATGCCACTGAGCTAACTTCCTGGCCCCCCCAAGAACATCTTAAGCCTCAAAATTGATAGAAAACTCTGTATGTTATGTAAGTTTTATCTGGGGAAATGGAAACTACAAAATTTTAAATTCAGAAAATTAAGAGGGCTGGAGAGATGGCTCAGTGGTCTAAAGCACCTACTTAGAACAAGCTTAGCAAA